ACTTCATTCATTTTCCTACATATTATTTGTGTTCCCCTAGTGAAATTCCTCTCTATTAAATCAGAAATCAATAGATATCTGATGCCAAAAACTAATTATTCTGATTTGTAAAATGAGAAATAGATTTTGGCATATAGCTTGATATGATATAACTAAAGCAACAAATATGAAAAAAAATTATATCATCACAGTGGTTTGATAAATGTTGTTTATTAAGCTCACAAAGCATATTAGAAATATTTGAATGCACACCAGCCACAATAGTATATAATGAATTAATATATCAAAAAATTTAATTAATATTGCATGTACTCTTTTAGAGACATGGGCAAAAATATTTTTAGTTTAATAACAAAAACATGGTATTTTCTTTCTTCCTTCCACATTACATGCATGGAAATTTGTTAAGTTATAAAAAAGCAAGAACAAATACAATTATTTTCTCCATTTGCAGCGACCTCCTAGATTTTCATTCCTTTCAAATATGACTGTTTCAAACAGAGCAATTGATCCAGATTTCTTAGATGGAGCTGCTTGGGATAATAATGGCTTGTGTTGCAAAAGAAAAGCACAGGATAAGATATATTTGCTAAAGAAGATTATGTTTATTTTAAGTAAGAGTTCTGAAGGCCTATAAAATATTAATATAATTTGTTGTGGATATAAAAGAAGTGACGTGTAATCAGCATCTCATAAAATCATTTTTCCCTTCTTTTAAAAAATTAACTCCAAAAGTATTTATAACACAGGGCCTCTCTCCTGCTGGAGTTCTTGACACTTACAAACTACCAACAAATAGTATGTCTTCTTATCCACCTTGGTTAAACAACACAAAAGAAACACTATCAAAGTATAGTTGTAACTTAATTGAAAAGTGAGCAAAGAGACCATATAACTTAACAATTACACCTTCATTAAAAATGATCTACAATAACATGATAGAGTCTGTAGTACTACTTTTTTTTAAATGTTTGAGAAGATTGCAGAGTTAAGCTTAATAGTTTCCTTTTCTGTCTTCCCCACGAACTCCTTGGAAAACATCAGGTAATTTTTTTTTTTTTACTTTTTTCAACCATAACATAGTATTATTTGGGTTAAAACTGTGAATATTTGCAAAGTATTGACACATTGGACTAGGGAAGTATGTATAAAAGGGGTAAATGATCAAACAAATAGCTATCTTCCACAGCAGAGGGGGATACAAGAGACTGAACTGACTTCTCTACCAGTCCTGCTGAAAATTGCAACCCTACACATCAGTTCCCCCCATCTTATCTTTGGCTTTATTTAAGTTTCCTCTATAGCCAATGTGGCCATCTAAACATCATATATATTATTTATATTGTTGATTGTCTATCCCATTCAGTCCAAAGGATAATTTGTTCTTTTATTTATTTCCATATCTCCAGAGACACGTAAAGACAAATTCCTGGAATTAGTACCTGCAGGATACTTGTGAAATCAATACAAGTACATTATGAGCCCCAGAGGGTTGCATCTCTGTGGCTTGGTTCTTGGCCGTGTTTTTATCCTTCAAGATTATCCTTTACGACAGTCATCTGTGTAACAGCCTGGTTACTGAGATAGCACATGTCCCAGCACAAAGGAAATCAGGAAAAAAAAAAAAAAAAAAAAAAACAAGAAGTGTGACCATTTATGTTTCTTGCTCCTCTTCCTTTTTCAATCTTTTTTTTTTTTTCCAGGGGATCTGGTTTTGTGACAGGACACCAGAACTAAGTAAAGGTGTTAAGGGCAGCAGCTAAGGGTGAGAAAGGCAGCCTGGATAATATTTAGGTTGTATAGAATTTATTTTCATTCAGCAGTGTTAGACAGCATTTGAAGCTGCTAACGGGGTATCTGACAATTGCTTTGATGGTGTCCATTTTAGTCTTAAGTTTCCCGAACAAATCATCATTCAGAAAAGCTAAGTATTTAGCCTTAACTAGTAGAGGGCTTGATCTACCCTCATGTCCTTTTTTTTTTCTCCTCTTTGGTTTTTTGTTGTTGTTAAATTCTTCACTTCATCATAATTTTGCTCTTGTGTGTCTGCAAACTAGCGCATCCATGAAAGTTTATTGTCCCCTCAGCTTTAAAATCTACACTCTCAAGGTTGGACACTGCTTCTGCCACACCATGCACATGTGGGAATTGGGGCTGTGTCAATTCTGAAACCTGTCCAAGCAACAAGAGGTGTCCTGCTTTCTGTCCAGAGCCATCTGGTTGCCTTAGTTACAATTTGTGCAGGAAAAAGACTGAAGTAGACATGAGTCAATACAGGGAGAAAAGAAGAGAAATTCTTGAAAACAGAGAGAGAAATATGTGCAGATGTATTCAGCATGCCCCGTCTCTGCTGAGCTTTGAAAAGATGTTCTTTGCTATGCATCATGAGGATCTAATTTTTGATTTACAGACTGACTTGCTTCAATAATTTATAATTAATTTACCAATTAATATCATGCCCCTTGTTTTCATGAGAGAAGCGGTGCCCCCCCCCTTTTTTTTTCACTGAGAAAAAGTGCAGACACTAGCCAATCCAGGTCTTAAAGCCTTACCTCACAGTTGAACAAAACCCAAAAATAATGGATGAGTTTTTCTGCATGTTTCCCAGATATCTGAGCCTGGCGCGTAGGCTTCATCTTGCCCAAAGCATACCAAATTGCCCTCCACATACATAAAGAGAGAAGCAGCATGATACGCCAAACAAATTGCTTTAAAAATAAACAACTTGTTGGCGGCCAGTTACTTGTTCCTCATTTTATAACGTGTTTTAACCTTTTCCAATTTCATCTATTTTCCTCTTGCTTGGTACGAGGAAGTGCTGGATCTCCAATATCCAAATAAACCAGATGTGAGGAACACCCACTTACACAGGAAGAACTCTCACAGCAGAAAACCTACATGAAAGACCTTCTGCCAAGATTCTTTAGATACAGCTTCTCCCTCCCCTGGAAAGTATTCTAGCCCTTGGCTTCTTCGTGATAAGATTCTTGTTTATATTTATGTTTTGCATTTATAAAATACTCTGTCTCCTTCCCTCACACAGTATAAATGCCGTGCTCTGAAAGGCCAAGTTTACCAGTTAATCACCACGCTGTTCAGCCTGGGGACTGTTATTCCTTCGCCTTCGGATTCCTACAATCTGTTTCTTGTAACATGGAAACCAGGTTGTTTTGTCATACTGAAGGAACTGACAGCTGTAATTACTCCTACCACTGCTGTAGACTTGGTTCCCAACATTCAGCACACACAGCAGAATGCAGGATCTGCTCAATGCTTTCAAAGATGAGAAGGTCAATCTCATAAACAAGAACATGAAAACCATGTTCTACTCTCTCAAGAAGATGCAGTCGTTAGCACACACGCACACACACACACACACATATGAAAAGATTTCTTTAAACATGTTAACCCTGCTGAAATGTAACTGGAAAATAATGATAAATGTATTTTGTTTTATTTACTATTGTTACTATTTGGGTTTTGTGAAACTTGTTAAACTTGCCTTTTCATTGATTATTTTTTATTTAAAATGTTTACAATATTAATTATGTGTATTGTCTGTGTGACATGAGGGCAGGTACTTGTGGAGGTCTAAGGAGTTAGGTATTCTGGAAATTAGATTTAAAGATGGTTTTAAGCCACATATGTGGGTGCTATGAACCAGATTCAGCCCTCTGTTAGAGCCGTTCCTGCTCTTAACCTGTTACCTTTTGAGTCATCTCTCTAGATCCTTCATCCTTTCTTTATTCACAGCTTCCACGAACAAAGCCACCCCGAATAACAAAGCAGATTTCAGTAATACAATATAAAATATCGCTTTAAAGTGTTTCCCTCTCTTATTCATAATGGATTGTTCCTTAACAAATTGAATATTAATGTACCTTTGGGAATTTTAAATCAAACAATGTATTAGCCAGTGCCTGACACACAGCAAATATTAACTAAATGATCACTAATAAGCATTCATAATTAGTAAAAAGTAGTTTACATGTTTTCTAAACTTTGAACATTTTGCTTTGAATGACAGATTAACACAGTCAAGTCACACGAAGTATTCATGAACTACTAAAGTTGAAAGAGGTACAAGAATACCAGCCATACCTTGGAAGAGTACACACACCACTATTGACTTCATATTCTCTAAAAGTCCTCTAGCCTGGTGCTCAAGCCATGCACTCATTTTCCCTTGTTTAATATACATCTCAATCAGACGTATTCATGATTGCCATTTTGAACAGACTTCAATTATAGTCAATGCTTTTTTCCCAACATTTAAAAATAATTTAACCTATGTTTTATATAACTTAATGCAATTATTTCCTATTTGAAAATTCCCTATTACATACTATGTAGATGAAAATACAAACATGGACTAACTAAAATTTTACTTAGCTCTGTGTGTATGTGGATGATCAGAGGCACACGTGTTCTTTGCTTTGCTCAGTTAGTGACATGGCTTTAGTTTTCAAGATGTAATTTTATTAATTTTAATTAAATTTCAAATTAAAAAATTCTTAAAAACTGAATCAAAAACACCAATGATATCCTTTGCTGGGAGAGGTTGTGGAAAAAGGGGTACCCTCATCCATTGCTGGTGGGAATGCAAACTTGTGCAACCACTTTGGAAAGCAGTGTGGCGGTTTCTCAGGAAATTCGGGATCAACCTACCCCTGGACCCAGCAATGCCACTCTTGGGAATATACCCAAGAGATGCCCGATCATATGACAGGGGCATTTGTTCAACTATGTTCATAGCAGCATTATTTGTAATAGCCAGAACCTGGAAACAACCAAGATGTCCTTCAATGGAAGAATGGATGAAGAAAGTGTGGAATTTATACACATTAGAATACTACTCAGCGGTAAAAAACAATGACTTCTCGAATTTTGCATGCAAATGGATGGAAATAGAAAACACTATCCTGAGTGAGGTAACCCAGACCCAAAAAGATGAACATGGGATGTACTCACTCATAATTGGTTCCTAGAGATAAATAAAGAACCTTCATCTGGAGATGGATGGAGATAGAGACAGAGACCCACACTGGAGCACCGGACTGAGCTCCCAATGTCCCAAGGAGGAGCAGAAGGAGGGAAAATATGAGCAAAGAAGTCAGGACCACGAGGGGTGCACCCACCCACGGAGACAGTGGGGCTGATCTATTGTGAGCTCACCAAGGCCAGCTGGACTGCGACTGAAAAAGCATGGGATAAAACCGGACTCTCTGAATATGGCGGACAATGAGGGCTGCTGAGAAGCCAAGGACAATGCCACTGGGTTTTGATCCTACTTCATGTTCTGGCTTTGTGGGAACCTAGCCAGTTTGGATGTCCACCTTCCTAGACCAGGATGGAGCGGGGAGAACTTTGGACTTTCCACAGGGCAGGGAACCCTGACTGCCCCTCAGACTGGAGAGGGAGGGGGAGAGAAGTGGGGGGAGGGGGAGAGGAGAGGGAGGAGGGGGGAAAAGGGAGACGGGGAGGGAAATGGGAGGCGGGGAGGAGGCGGAAAAAATTTTGTTTTCAATAAAAAATTATATTAAAAAAAGAGTATTTAATAAAATACATGTCTTATTACTAAAAAAAACTGAAATAAAGCTATAAAATTATATGGTAAAATATTTTAAGAGATTCCTTTTCTCCTTAGCAATAAACAGAACCCGAGAGGGTAATCAAGCTATTCTGCAGATAATGAGGGCTTTAAACTCATTAATACGGATTAGGAACATTTTTAATTGCCATTGTTACACTATCATAATCACAATCATTGTATGCATAATCCTGGATACTTTGTGTGATTTAAAGAAGTTGCCTTGGTGTGTATTTTATATTAGTGTTAAATATATATGGATAATTGCTGTGCATATCAAAAAATGCACTGCCTTTATCTCACAGTTCTAGGGTTCTGAGTGACGATCTATTTGATTCTGAAAACATTGCCTTGAGAAACTTCACATAATTTATAGTATTGACCATGTATTAAACGAAGAAACCACAGGAACCTAGTCTCAGTCAATGTTCTCAAAATTGATGTTAGAATGTTAGAAAATACAAAACACAAGAATGTATTTTTCCTGTGCTCTATCCTTACATGCTCACTAGAAGGATATAAGTATTAGACAGTAATTAACACTCCTCTTTCATCCTGAAAAAATCATCAGGGGAAGGAATTTTCTTTCTATATGCATTATTTAATTAGTTCATGTATTTACTAAATATGGAGCGCTCACTTTCTCCTGCACCCTAGGGATAAGTCAGGAAACAAACCCCAAAAAGTGGGGAAAGGTGCGTGTAATAATAAATTAAGTCCACCACAGGGAATATTAGGAGGTGATAAGTGTTAATGAGACAACAGCAGTTAGTGGTGCAGGCAGTGCTGGGAGGGAAATGCAGCTCAGATCACAGTGATCAGCATATACCCACTGAGAGGCTGGCACTCAAGAGGAACTGAAATGAAGGAGGTGGGGGCGGAGATCTCATGGCAGCAAGACAGTGGGGGATACATTTGCAGTGCAAGAGACGAATAATGCTGATGCTCAGACACAAAAGAACTGGCTCCCTAAGGTCAAAATGGAGGGCAGCTAGGATAGGACTGTAAGGCTCGGAGAGAAGACAACATCACAGCGGACAGGAGCAGAACAGACCATGCACAACTGGGGATTCTGATAACTTTGGCTCTTACTCAGAGGCAGAGATCGGATCATTGGAAAATCAGTTTTGAAAGGAGTGATATAAATTGATATAATTTTTAAAATTGTCTGCCTGCCTGTTTATGCCTGTGTGCGTATTCTTGTGGCTGATGAAGCACATATGACAGGCACAGGTGCAGGGGTCATGGATATCTCACGGACTGTGTCTTGCCTTCTCCTTTGCCACATTGTTATACGGCACCTGGCCCATAAAGCTGTGCGAGTTCTCCTGTTTCTCCCTCTCACCTTACCATAGGAGAAACTGTGTTTATAGATGGCTGCATCCAGCTTTATGTGGGGTCCGAGTACCCGAACCCAGAACCCACTCTTTTTGTTGAACGGCAATCACTTTATCCATCTCTCTCACTGCTTGACTTAGTATTTTCACCAGGGTCATTTTTTTTTTTTTTTTTACTGAATGCAGATTATAATCACACTGAGGACAGTACCGAGGAATGAGGCTAGATATTATAACTGTTCAGGGGTAGAAAAATAAGATGATAGAAATTTATGGATTTTAAATATATATTTTGGAAATCAAAGGAGCAAGAATTTTCTGCCATTGAAGGTGAGACATGAGACTCTGAAAAAATTTAAACTGGGCTTCAGAGATTCTAGCCCAGCCACTTAGCAGGAGATGGGGCCATGGACTGATAGGAGAAAGGCTACAAGAAAAGAATATTTTACGGAACAAAGTGGGGAAAGTGAGATATTGAGGAGTCTGTCTTTTAGGGAAGTCTACAAATGAGAGCCAAGAGACAACAGCCAAATCCATGAAGAAGAATCCAGTGCTGTAAAAGTAAAGTAGGAGAGTGTATGTGCAACAGTCTTACCTCTCTGACTCACATACATCCCTCCGAACAGAGGGAAATCCCACTCAGTACTGTATAATTTGACATCCAGTCTCATGCTCTAAATGTAGAGATCATCTGTTGTACAAACCAACTATTATCCATGTAGTAGCTAACAAGTAGCACAGTGTTTTACTTAAATATGCTTTATTATAGCATGTATATTTAGATTTTAAGCACTACCTAGTTACTAGGACTCACAAATGTACATATATATGTATTAAAATATAATAACCTTGTGAACATTATATTGGTGTATACCTATAACAATGAAAGTGTTCTCATTTTAAAGCACATCACCTTTTTTTTGGAAAAAACGGATAGTAAATGTATTCATATGGCTTTCAGAAAATAATATAGATGTGACTCAGAGGATTTAAACTCTCATTGGGAGGACAGTGGTGCAAGTTGCAGAATTTTTATGAGTATATAATAGTGTGTATTTTATTAGTCCTTCGTGACATGTTCACATTGTGATATGCTGAGCCTGAGTATTATTCATAAAAACAGATGATTGCAATCACCTCTGCATCCTGAATGGTCCTGACCCTGTGTTAAGACAACCATGTGGGAAAGAGACTAAGGACAGAGAAGGAAGGTCTGTGCAGTGGAGAGCCTATCATTAGATCCAGCAACAGCACCAGGAGGTGTCTGAGCTTGGCCAGACTAGACTGAGAGTGTTTCCTCTTTGAGGATGTCTAAGTGAGAGTCCCTCGTGCTGTTTTGTCTGCATCATTTGTGAGGTTGTGCATAGAGTTGGATCTGGAAGTCAATAAAGTGGTGAGCACATGGAATCCGATCTATGTAAATATCATAATGATGGTGATTACTTCTCTATTCTTCAGAAAATTAGAGAACTAGATCTCTTCTATGCTGTTTTTATGAATCATTCATCATTGTATTTTCATTATTCTCTACTATACCCCTTTACTGCATTTAGTTTACTGACAGTATATCTCTCATTACCAAATTGATCGTAACAGGTATGTGTTTGAAAGAGTCTACTTCTGATTAATACAGGTGTCAGAATTTATCCAATTCTCAAGAAACTGATTCAAGACTAAAATTATCGAATTTTTATGTTCAGACACAAATAACTTCCTCTTCTGTTTGTATTAGTCTATCATTTTAGGATCATATGAAATGATTCATTCTATGAGTAAATAGATATTAAATTCAAATTTGTATTGTCGGTAATGTACGTATTGGAATGCATGAGCTTTGTTCAGTTTATTTTCTCAACTACAAATGCAGCTCCAATTATGAGACTAACCACTCGCTGTAAAACACTACTGTGTATTTTCAAAATGAGCTACATTTTGTGTGTGTGTGTGCATATACATAGTAGCACATATCATAGAATATCTATAAAAATTTTCTGTAAAACATTAATTATTTTATATCTAGTTAAAATTCAAGGCATCTGTTTAAAAATATACTCCACAGAAGTTTATCATTGCTTTGACAGTCACATCTGCAGTGCCTGTTGTGTGACTACATATAATTTGACTTTGTAGCAGCTTAAATAATTAATCACAGAAGCATCAGCATGCCACTAATGTGTTTTAGGAGTCACAAACTTCCCCATGTCAATTGTTATCACTGAAAAGAGCCAAAGTTTAATAAACTGGATATCTAGCCAGCAGACACCGTACCTCTGAAACCATTTATGATAAATGAAGAGCTGCATTGATACCTCATATCAAGTGTACACTTGCACACCCTCTGTGATGCTAATTCTTCATTCTAAGAGCAAAAGGATAAACAAATATGTATCTCGGGTAGGAGAGAATGCTCACTGGTTAGAGACAGTGGCTGCTCTTATAGATGATTAGGTTCAGGTTCCAGCACCCATGTCAGGTGACTCACAAACCCTAAGTAGAGATCAGATGAATCTGATGTCCTCTTCCGGCCTCTACAGGCACCTGCATACATGTAGGAAACCTACATAGACAGATATGCACGCACATAAAATAAATAAGTAAGTAGATACCTAATTTTTGCTGTTATTTAAAATATCACCTACTTTTGCTTAATTCATATGAAAACACAAGTAAATCTGCTTTACTCATAAAGTATCTTAGGTTATTTTTTAGTATTTTAAAATTCAATGAGGATCTATACATTTGTTTCAGGGTATTTTGTAATTTATTTTCGTAGTTTTCTGTGCAATGAATGGAGGCTGTTTATCAATAAGTACATGCTAGTTATTCAAAGTTCACGATTATTTTCTGATGGATGACATATTACTTCTTTGTATTTGATTTAAATATGAGGTTGTAATTGCATCATATTTTAGAAAAAGAATTCCATGAAATGACTAATGTTCAAAAATATTGATTGTTCCATGCTCATGCAGTAGTTTTTTTAAATGCCAAGCAATGTTTCAGTACACAGAGCCTTTAAGTAAATATTTAGAGAAAGAACAAGGAGCCTTGAAAACAGATCTGCTTTCAGCCTTTATATTTGAACCTGCAAAATCATGCCAGACATTCCCAGTTTCAGACAAAATCAATATTCCATGAAATTCCTTGAGGTATGGAAACTTGGATGATCATTTTGGCATGTTTCAATGGACTGCTTTGCCGCCAGGTGTGTGTCTCTTTCAAAGGAGCATGACGTTGGATAACTGTCTACCAAGTTCATGATTCATATTCTTCTGCCTCGCTCTCTCTCAGTACCTTCAAGTCTCCATAGTGATTCTGTTATAAAAGTTGCTTTATAATACATTTTAACTCTAATGAAATACGATTTTTTGAAGAGTGCTATATATCCATATAAGAGAAAGTTAATACACATATAAGAAATATATAGATTCATTATATACATACA